GAAAGATAAAAAGCAAAATAAATCGTGAAAATTAAATAAAGCTAAAATAGAGCTACATTAATTTTTTTAATGCCAGAATTCCCGCAACCCGCCGTTTTTCCCGCATTGGGACTTCAAATAAAGCCGGATCTGACGGGAAAAAAAAGCTAAAATGACACCCCTGGTGAAGAGTATACCGTAATGTCAAAAAAAAAGTGTGCAAAACACTTTACCTTACGTATCCGGTCTATGTGTTCTCTGGTTAGTGGTGCAACGCACGATTTCATCGCTATCGATAGTAAACAAAAACAATCGATATGGACTAAAATATAAAAAGTCGATAGATCGATAGCTCAATCGACATCTTTACAGCAATACCTTTTTGGTGAACAGCTAGTACTCAAACAATTATTCTAAGAAAAACAGTATCTTCATTTTCTTTACAAAACAAATAAAATTAAAAAAAAACTTTAAGTCAGGATCACCTTAAAAAAATATAATCATGAACATGAATCCGCTGGACAAAATACATGCACTTGATGAAATTGAAAAAGATATAATACTCTGCATGCAGAGTGCAGGTTAGCATTATTGCAAATGTGCATTTGTTACTGCAGTCAACAATAATAAGTAACATTTAGGTCAGGCGTTGCAAGAGCTGGGTAAGGAGAAGACTTCTCAGAAAAGTGCCGAGACACAATCTCAGCAATTTTTGAAGAGTTTGTCTAGTGTTGAGTCTAAACTCTCGGAGCAAATCAACTATCTCACACAAGTTTCTACCGGTCAACCACACGAAGGATCTGGATATGCCTCCGCTAAAGTCTTACAAATGGCTTGGCATCGTATTCAACATGCGCGCTCTCGTGTACGTGAATTGGAAGAGACCAAGGCCAAACACTCCCATGCAGCTAGACAACAGCAACAGAAGCGCCAACAAGAACATGCAGCTGCACAGCAACAGGCCGCAGCCGCCGCAGCCCAACAGCAGGCGACAGGTGGTAGTTCAGGATCTACAGACGTCAGTGGTGCAGGCATTGGCAATACTTCCAGTGTTAGTGGAGTAGCCACTGATAGCGGCGGTAGTATGTCCGCGAGCTAATTGCAAATTTAGGCTCTGCCAATAACATTTTCTACATGGATTAAAATTAAATTATATTTTATTATTGTTAGTTTTCTTTATTCAGTGCTTTTGATATTTTCTTGAGTCGAAAACTTTTTATAAATCAAAAAAGTTTTTTTCACACACATAACGCACACATTGCAAAAGAACATTTCGTTCGTGTCGTATTTCACTCTCTAATAGCTTAGAGAGCATTGTGTTCGATTTGTTCAATTGACGCGCACGCGTGTAATTCAAGCCAGTAATGCGTGTAATGCAAGCCTTTGGAGAAGGATGCTTTCTATTGTTTTTATTAATTGATTTAAAGTTTCTGATGACTATCGGTCTTGTTTGAACCTGTTGTACTATCGAAAAGGGTTCTTTGTTTCGTTCAATGGGTACGTCATCAGGTCCTTCATCGGAAGAGCTTAAACCTATAGTGAATTTATCTTTGTTAATATTTTCTGTGAAATGCGTGACTGAATATGTAAGCTCGGTATGATCTGAAGTATCATCATGGTTATCTACAGTATTCTTGTATCCTACAAAAGTAAAGTGAGCCAAATCATTTACATCATATGATGCCTCAATTTCGCTCTCATTGTCCGTATCGTACATTCGCAACATGTTGCTTAATGCATTATCAACCTCGTTTTTGGATTTAAGCGTTATATGCTTGTAATCAATCATGTTACTAGTCCCACGAAAAATTGGCACATCAATTAAACACGAATTGCTTGGATCTTGTACAGTAGTGTCCTCCATTACTTTCATTGGCCCTTTCTGACGGTCTGATTGTCCTTCCGAAGTATTCATGCATCTGAGTTTTTTACTTTCCTTAACAGATTTCCGTTTCTTATTGATTGGGTGCAAGCGCATGCTTCGTCTGTCATTTAATATCCCAAAGCGCCTTTTAGATGCCTCAAGGCGTTCGCCTCGTTTTAAGCGCTGTTCTATAGCCTGTTTGGCTATTTTTACGCTAGCTACCGTTGGAAATCTGTAAAATAAAATCTCAATAATTGTAACTTATTTAAACGTCTTTACAAACCTCTTGCATCGTTCGGCGCGCCAGGCAGCAATATTCTGAGGGGTCCATACTTTTTTTACAGTTTTGTACAAACCCGTTATGTGGTTTGCCTCAATATGTCCTTCCATAACGAATGATAGAGCTGTAAATCTGCATTCCTCAGCGGGACAGGTTTGATGCTGGTTTAAATGACGACGCATATCTTGCGCTGTGGCCAGCTCCATCTTACAGTTTCCACAGTATTCGGTCCGAGGCGGAGAGTGATTTGATGTGATTTTTGTAAGGCTAATACTCTTGAATAAATAAATACATGGTTATATTCCCAATTCACGTTAACATATTTGTATTACTTGTGTTTTCCCTACTTGGAAATATTTTGGAGCCACTGTACTTCCGTGCGCTCCATACATCGGAGGTGGCTGTTTTTCACGTGAAAGTAGCGTCATGCCAGATGGTGTTAGATAATGCAAATTAGTCTTATTTGGTTTATTAAACGTTTTATCGAAATTCGGGGAGGGCAACAGGAATTTTCGTTCCATTACAATTAATATTTCCAATTCACAATCTCAATATACAATAGAGCTGGGAACCAATCGATGCATCCATCGACTATATCGATGAATTCTAATTTCTATGATATATCGATGGACTTTTATCTACATTGATGTATCGTCCTTTTAATGTGAGGAACAAAAAAAAAACACTAACCAAAGAAATTTTCTATTAACAGAATACTTATATTTTTTCCGTTGATAAAAATGATAAGTCAAATGGAAAGGAAGTGGATCTCTGGCTAAGTAAATTTTATATGTATAGCTTTAAGATAATTATGTTGATTTATATTACGTGTTAGAAAGGGATCTCTGAACGAAATTTAATGAATTACATTTTTATAAGTTCTATAAATCTGTTTAGATTTTTTATTTTTTATTTTTAAACAAATACAAAGAGAAGTATAACAATAAAAGAGCTTTACTTCCGAAATTTAATGAATTACATTTCTATAAGTTCTATACATTTTTTTGGATTTTTTTTATGTTTAATCTTTATATAAATACAAAGAGAAGTATAACAATAAAAGAGCTTTATTTAAATTTGTTTATATTATAAAACTAACTTATTTTTATAAAAAGGGCTAATATTGATGGAACCGTCCATCGATGGTTTCGTAGCCAATGTTGCCGAATCAACTATTTTGTAGCTAGATCTGGCTTTTTTAGGGCCGATTACTACAAAAATTTTAAAACAGCCTTTAGCTCCAAATACTAACAAATAGACCGGACAAGTAGCGTTAAGCTCTTCGCAAAACCGAGATGGTCGACTGTTGAACAAAAGATGCCTTTATACTCAATGTTTCCCTTGCTCTCTCTTTTTCGTTGCTCTCTGCTCTCTCAAATGTGCATATATATGTATGCATGTGAGCACAAGCAGCAGCTCACAAAAATTGAAATTTCTTCGCAGCAAGAATCCATGTCTTACAATCTTTGTGAAGAGTATACCCTACATGTAACATGTAACATGACTATTTGTGTGCCTGAGTACGCAACTCTTGCTGCCTGTGCAGATTGTAAGGCTAGAAATTTGGCGTTGGTCGGTCTTACTGTCATATCCACTTCACACAAATGGACCATGTATGAGCATAGATACACATGTACGCAGATTTATATATTGTTATCGCTAATAATGCTTATAAATGTCTGATTTAATATATTTATTAAATGTTTTGGAATATATCGGGTTGCTGACTATAAAAACTTCCAATGGAACATAAAATACACATGTCATATTATACTCAAACTGTACTCATTATTGCCCAAGCAACTGATTAATTCATAAAGGTCCATTTAACAGTCAGTCTACAATTTACAAACTATTAAATGGAGAGACAATTATCTTCCTATCCCGTACATACATGCTCACTTCACAAGACTGACCAAGGGCAAATTTTGGCACAGGCAACAAGAATTGCGTACTCAGGCATGCACTTAACGAGGGACTGAAATTGTGTATGTGCATGCATATATTCTTTATGCGCTTCATAACCTTCATAGAAATAATCATGAAAACGATAAGATTTTGTATAAGCATGGAAAACGCTTCTAATATTTTGGTATACCCTTCACTCAAAAGGAGAGATGCGATCGTCGCGAACAAATTTCAATTTTTGTGCTCTGCTGAGTTGGATGATTTGACTGACCATAGAGACAGAGAGAGAGGAGAGAAGAAGAGAGCGGTAGAGTGAGAGAGAGTAAGACAAATAGCGCACATCCGAGCTTCTGGCTTTGTCGTGCTGTATTTTCACTGCTCGAGTCTTAAGAGACTTAGCCGAGCAAATACGAAGTTGACCAGTCTCTTATGCACATTTTTTCGGCGTTGAAAAAGTTTGTTCCACATGTCTTGTCCATGTGTTCTTTGGTCAGTGGTTTTAGCTATTTTCAGCCCTTGGCTTAGCTACTTTTGCTGAACAAATTTCGGCAACGCAGCTAGCTCTTATGTCGAGGTAACAAATGGTTACTAAAAGTCGCAGTTTCGGATATCACAGGCGCATGTTTTTAAATACGAAATATCTTGTGCCGTATCGATATTATAATAATCTTATATATTAACTACATGTTAAATTGGCATATATTGACCTTGGTTGTTACCAATTATTTATTTAACAAATTTTGTTTGCTACCTAATAGGGTAAGAGCCATCGATTCATTTATTTATTTGTGTTTTTTTTTCTTTATATAAATAAAATTCAAAAATCGATAGTCACTGTCACTGATAATCACTGTCATCCGGTTCGATTGCATTACAGTGTTGCACAGCGTGCAAGCATTGAAACCAAAACGAAATTGGCAATTAAGAAATTATTCATAAATGCGTCTCATTAACGTCTGGCAAATCTAAATACAGTTTAATATATAAATAAATAAACATGCAAAGCGTACTTAACACAGTAAAAGGAACAGCGCTAAATGTGGCTGAATATCTAACGCCAGTTTTAAAGGCAAGTAGCTGACTCAAGCTCCTTAAAGTTGAAACATATGCACATACCTAATGTATGTAATGTAATATATATTAATATTAACATAACATATACATTACTTGATTTCTTATCAGGAGTCAAAATTTCGAGAAACTGGTGTACTAACTCCGGAGGAATTCGTTGCAGCAGGTGATCACTTAGTTCACCATTGCCCTACTTGGCAGTGGGCGGCAGGCGATGAAAGCAAAACAAAGACATATTTACCAAAGGGTGAGTAACCGAGTATGCGTCTTAAAGTATGTTAAAACACAACTGACTGAAATACAGATAAACAATTTCTTATTACACGCAATGTGGCATGTTATCGCCGTTGCAAGCAAATGGAATATGTAGGAGAGGAGACACTGGTTGAGGAAGAGTCTGGTGACGGTGGCTGGGTAGAGACACATCAATTAAACGATGACGGCACAAGTCAACTCGATGATAAAATATGCGAGCTGACGTTAGATGAGAGCAAGGTTTGAGTGTATTGCTAATAGTAAAAGTTGAATACATTTATTCTTCCATTAGGACGAAATGTTCACAATAGAAAATGGTAAGAGATCGCCATTAAGAGTGGTGACCACTGATGATGATAATGAGGACGATGATGAGGCCATTGACATGGATACATTTGAGGAAAGTGGCATGCTTGAACTTGTCGATCCTGCTGTAGCCACCACCACTCGCAAACAAGATATCGAAACTAATCCTAGTAATTTGGCTTCAGTCGTGAATGCAAGCGAGACTACCAATAGCGCAGATTCCGTATTGCGCACACGTACATACGATCTGCACATCACATATGATAAATACTATCAAACGCCAAGGCTATGGGTGGTCGGCTACGATGAGCAGCGTAAGCCGTTAACCGTTGAACAAATGTACGAGGATGTTTCACAGGATCATGCTAAAAAGACTGTAACAATGGAATCGCATCCCCATTTACCTGGGCCCAATATGGCATCGGTGCATCCTTGCCGACACGCAGATATTATGAAGAAGATAATTCAGACGGTTGAGGAAGGCGGTGGCCAGCTTGGGGTGCATTTATATTTAATTATATTTCTGAAATTCGTGCAAACTGTCATACCAACTATTGAATATGACTTTACGCAAAATTTTAATATGTCCTAAACAGCTAGATTTTAAGTTTAATCAGACGGCAATATAAAAATTAATTATATATAAAGTATATACAAATAAAATCTGATACGGCATACCCCGACTATAACGGTTCATTATAAATACAGAGCTCAAATTGTTTTTATATTTACGATTTATTACATTTTTGTTTATTGGTTGGTTGCTCGTTTTTGAGATGACATTTTTATATTAACATAGTAATAAACAATTATTATACAGTTTAGTTAAATGATTTGCTTTACGCTGTCTACGAGCTTCAACGGATATTAAGCTTACAACTGTGGGTGTGTATGTGAAGTTGCAATATATGTATATGTATAGCTTAAAACGTACAAGCTTTAATGTGGTATTTCTTTCATATATATATATTTTTTCCCAACCCTATTATTACTTTATATATACTTCTATCTTTTTATTATGTAATATATATCTTATAAATTAAAATCACTTTTCATTTGCAATAACAGGTTCACATCGTAATTAAATTCACAATAAACATGCCTAATGCAACTGCCTATATAATAAGACATTACACATTTTTACTTCATGCAGAAACTCATAGTATGCCCCATACTTAAAATATATATATATATATATATATATATATATATATATATATATA